AAGAAATTGTTCATTGGGAAACAAAAGCTGAACTACTGGGAATTACATTCTATATGGTTGTGTATTTTCATAAATAAGTTGACATGACTTCATCTGCTTCTTGTTATTCTAATTGGCTAAATGAAATTGTTTTTTTTTTTAATCAAAACTATTTATTAAAACAAAACATAGACCGGGTTGTTCATCTGACCAGCAACAGAGAGAAACGGAAATTGCCAATGAGAGGGCGTGAAACATTCAGAACATACTCTTGCACCATGCGGAATGTTAATTTATTTCTTTCTATTTAAAGTTCACCAAGGAAGCTTTTATGTTGTGAACAGAAGCATTATTTATCTATTATTGCATCGCAGGCGTACAGAGAGCAGTAAGGTCACGGCCAAGCAGACAGACCATCTGACAGAACTTATGCCAGGCAAAGTGATGGAGTGATCTAATGCCAAGATGAGCTGTACGCATACACACAGCACTGTGCGCGCTCCACCCAACTCTGAGCAAAGTCATTTAGGTCTTAACTGTGTGTGTGTGTATCATGGTGCCAAAACTCAGCAGGACAGGCCAACATGTTGAGAAGTAATCACCCACTGAGGCCTGCGGTTAACGAGAGCCTCGATCCATCACACACACACCTTAGTAGAGCCACAGTTGAGGTCAATGCCTATACAGACACAAAAGCCTCATAAATATATAAAATCCCATACAACAAAATCACCAACAATACTTCACAGACCACTACACAAGTGCTCTCTAGAGGAACGGAAAATACTGACACATTGAGTGGTCTTCACAACAGCACAATGACTTCACGGTGTTAGTTTTGACACTGCTGCTTGAAGGACATTGTATTTTGTTTTAATATTTTCACCCATCCTATTATAAAGAGAGTTGTTTTTCTTACTGCGACGGAGTTGGCCTGAGAGGCATATCCACCGATCTCTCTACGGTAAAATAATTTGAGAAACATTTCATTTCCCTGAAAATGGAGCAGCTTCTTTATTGCCCTCCGAGCTTCTATTTGATTACAGATTACAGATTTCATCCATCCTCCCTCGTTTCTGTCATCTCATTACCCGTTGTTCTCTTTCACATCTCTTAAATAGATCATTGCTTATTTTATTTATATTTCTTCTCTCCTTATAACAGCTCTTTACCCCCCCCCCCATCTTTTCTTCACCGTCATCTCTATCTGAGGTCATCAGTATGACAGAGTTCAGGTAAACACTGACAGAATCACACTTTCTCCCAATTTGCATAATGAGGCCTATTTGACTCTAATTATCCTAACAAGTAGCATCACCCCTAAGCCTCTCATCACCCTCTTAATGAGCGTTAATTATTCCATCTACACAAACAAGAGCCACCTCTAACACCTTCAGTATCCTCTTTTTTTACCCTCCTTCACTCTCCCTTTCTCACATCACCGGAGAAAGAACCAAGCCTAATCGATACAGAAAATTGCCGTACTGAGAAAGAAAAAGAGAATGATAGCCAATTAGTAACACAAAAGTGCAACTCTAATTTCCTGAGCCAATACCATATGGCTACAATACATCCAAAAGAGAATATGTGAAGTCTAGCTGATGATAATGCCAATAATTTCTCAGGCATTCTGAGGGCATGTACGTGTTAAATGAACTGCTGGCCGAGAGTGGCTAATGACAGAGAAATACCTTCCAGCAGCCTGCAAATAGATGGAGCAAAATGGAGGCGAAGAAACAACTTCTCAAGAAAGCAACTGAATAAAATAGAGCTATGCATATGTTCTTAAGTCATAAATCTATTTATGCATGCCTTCTTTATCAATCCATCGAGTCTTGATTTTGCTGCCAATTTGTAACATAGTCTGCTTTTCTTCTTCAGTCTGGCTTTGAATTTACCCACATGCCCTTCCCTAATGCAAAAATCTCCTTCACAAGTCACAGAATGAGTGAATGAATTAATAAGTAAAGCGGAAGCATGTGTGTGTTCTCACCGCTATACGCAAATTTCAAAAGTCCCACGGTACAGTCATGCTCCAATGATCTAATGATTTTTTTACCCTCCTCTTCATTCTTCCTTTCTGAATCCAACTGAAATCAATTTGCTGAGATGAAAGTTTTCAATTTTATTACGTTTGCAAAATGGGAACTCGCTAACTGGTCTTTCTGCAGCTGTAATGGAAAATCATTTCGGTCTTAGCAAACTTCTTTCTCTCCGCCTCTGAGGTTTAGAATTGACAGAATCGCATTTAAGTATTTCGTATGAAAACACAACAGAGGATTTCTAAGGAAACATTTACCTTTAGACTCCCAAATAACAATGCTTCTTTGTTCGGGGTTATAGAGCCATCTTGGAAGTGGGGCTATCAAAACTGATGAAATTTCATGCAGTCACTTCTAGGAAATTGAAAGGAGAAAAATAGAGGGGGAAATGAAAGAAGAAGGGGGGAGAAAGAGAGAAAGAAATCTTTCCTTTGGGAGTTTTATTGTCTTCATCTGGGTCATTATCTCAATTAAAAACATAGGAGATAATGATCACAGTCATTACTTTCACTCATCTGCCCCCCTCCTGTCCACTATCCCTCCTTTCTCTCTGGATGCCAATCTGTGGGGAAATACCTTCTTGATTACCCCTCTTTGGCTATGGATTATTAAAAGCACACACTCACAGCTCTCACACTTCTAGCTGTGAATCTTGAATTTAATCTGATTAATTTAAGAAACAAAGCAAAAATGCACTATTTATTGCTTTGCTAGAAAGTTTGTCAGCAAGAAAACCCACCAAGGGGGTGTGTGTCTGTGCGCATAAGCATGCTTGAATGCCTGCATGGCTGTGTGTGTTTGTATGAACGAGTAGAGAGAGAGAGAGCTAGCGAAAGATATTTAGGCTTCACAGTCTCCCTAGAGCAAATAATCTCCCTGGTGTCAGCCAACCTTCAAACATATGGGCCCCTTGCTCGGCCTGGCTCGCAGACACAGCCAGTGTGTGTCTGCACGTGTACAAATACGTGTGTGTGTGTGTGTGTGTGGCAGGGCAACTGTGTTTGACAGCCTGATAGTCTGACAGTTTTAATAACACCTCTGGTTTTATTACAACTGTTCAGGCCTGCGGTTGAGCCCCGAAACACACAGATATCTGCCCTCAGACGCAGAAGGGAGGGGAAGCTGAAGATGAGAGATGTTTCACAGTCAGTTTTCGCACAGCTAGGAAAATGAGCTTTAAGCCCTACTTGGAAGACGGTCCTTCTGTAAACATCCATCTGCTTTTGTCAATTAAACTCCTAAAACTCCCTGAAGCAACAAAAACCTTTCATCCCACAGATTTATTGATGGCGTCGCTGAGAACAGGTGCGTTTTCGGGCCTTCAATTGCAGACAAATTGCAAATTTGGTGTAACTCACTCACAGATCTGTCTCCTCAGTCATCAAACACTGGCACATCACACAGACACATGCACATTATAAGCTGTTTTATGCTTCTTGCTTCTATTCCTCATATGCTGTGCAATTTGAACAGTCCATCCTACTATATGTCAGCAATTCTGTAGTCTAAAAGAAAAAAAAATTAACAACTGGCACTTTCATAATCATACTGACAGACACTAACCTGCAAACACTGCACAGTTCTCTACAAACACAAATCTGCAAATATTCCTGTGGATATTGCACAGTTCACCGGACTCAATTCCATGCATTCAAACCACATGCTGTCTGAACATGAAAGTGATGAACTTTTTGGATGCAGTCCATTTCACACAGCAGTATGAGGCCACGTTTGCTGGGAAGGAGGCTTGGGGGAAAAAAAACGTAATGATGCTGATGACAGTTTCAGTGCTTGATCAGCAAGTGCTGTCTCCAGAGTCAACAACTCTGATACCATCCAAGCCCTCACACACTTGGACAATCTTGTCATCCCTCACGTTGGAAGATCTTCAACACATACTTTCTAATTTTGCAATCCCCCACACTTTCTGTCTGTCTCTATCTCACCCCCACAGCCTAATTGTTTGTATGACATACCCAGTTTAAGACTTGCTGGGATAGTACAAGTAAAAATAGATGTGAAGGCCACTGTGGGTCCTCAGCTGGAGAGGATGAATAAAAACAGCACACTGCTGGGACACAAGTCTGCTCATTTCATCACTGCCTCTTGCTTCTGTGGACAGTGAAAATAGGGTTGCTCACCTTTAGCACAGCAAATATATTTGTGTGTATACAATACTCACTCAAATATAACAGTACTCTCCCCATAAATTATTTAAGAAGGCTAAAAAATGAAATGCATCTGTGTTACTTACATCAGCTCATTTAACAAGCTTTTATAAATTAATGACATAAACAGAAAATACTCCTGTGAGAAGAAATCAAGCTTACTTTCATTTACACAGTAAGATGTTTTTGAATTTGCGCATAATAATCTAAAGTAAAAATAAAAAATAAAAATAAACAGCTAAAACATTACACATCACGCACTCTTCCTAAATGTCCGGAAGAAAAAAAATATGCTCGTCTCACTATCATAAAACTGTTATTTCCGAACAATATTTCGTGCAAGACGCTTCAATCATCCTATTTCTACATCTCTGTCTTTCCAGCTAACTACATGCATGTATAATTCATGATAAGACTGCAAAACAACAAGGTGAGAAACCAACATTTCTATTATTTATACGCTTGGCACAACAAAACCACACCGCTGCTGTCGCTGCGCGCCACAGTCTCTTCCAACAACCAAACGCACGAGTCACTTACCACAGTAGTGTGTGTATTCATCTATAAATATTTCAAGTGTAAATTAAGATGTTAAAATGGGTCAAGTGGAATAGGGAGCAGCCTGCACCAACTTTTTTTTTTTTTTGGCATTCGCGCTACAGCCGTGAAAGCGCACTGACAACTGGGCTTAATAACAAACAGTTGTTTGAATACACGAAGGATGCTTGTCATTTTTATCATGCTGGTTATATTTATTCTGCACGATTTGCATCTCGCAACAAGTTTTGGATGTGCGTAAATGTTTCTTTACCTCCGTGGAGAGACGCGACGAGGAGCGCGTGCAGTAACGCCATCCGTACAGCGATCATCTTTGGCTTTCTGGGTAGTAGTATAATGTTCGAAAACGACATTATGAATAGTCTAGTGTGATAAGTTGTTGAATAAATAACATAATCCTGTGGAAAGTCATGTGATATTGTAACTGGTTCGACGGCAGATTGGCGTTGCTGCGGTCCCCAAAAATCCGTGTCCTTTAACTATCACCAAAATTCCGTTAGAAACGAGAATCAAACCCTTCCCTAAAGTAGTAAAGCGTTATTATCAGCCAGGGAAAGTCACTGTCATTGTTCCTCTGGTGGTGTTATTATTCCTTCAATAAATGAAGTTTGGAACACAAGTATAGAGGTCCGGACCGGTGGCGTAGTGAAGTCACGCGCCGCAGAAGTTGGTGGTGTTCTCCGCGCGAGCTCGTGGGTAGACGCGCGTCCTATGAATCCGTCTCTTGGCGCACTGAAGCGCAAAACCACCGGCGTTCGCCGCTGACGCTCTCTGAAATGTTCCCATCGCTCCTGTGACGCAGCTTTTGCGTTAACATGTCTGATTTTCCTCTTCGCTTTCCCTAAATGAACTTCCTCGCGTAGCTCTCCTGAGACAGAAAGGCCAACAGTCAAGCTGGCACTCCAGCGCTAAGAGATGGAAGCGCGTGAAGAAGAGGCGAAAATGGATGACAGTTTAGCTAGCCAATGGGGTTTTCCGACAGAACAGGTGCGCTAAAAAGACAGCCAATCACAAGCAAGGAAAACCCCTCATCCCTGCAACCGAGGCTGCAGACAGATTAACAACAACAGTTTTCATTTTACAAAACGCAATTTTTACGCACTGGTTTCTAATGTTTATTAAAGGAAGGAAAATGATTATATAAAGCTTTTATGCACAACACAAGCCTTCCAAGAGCGGACAGTTTGTAATTTAGATGTTACAGTTAATTTATGGCTGTACAAATATGACTTTGGTTCATATTCACATGCTGACAGGCTTAAAATTAATTTAAATTTTATCTACTGAAACTAAAAAAAAATAAAGCAACCAAAATTGGTTTGCTGATCTTAGCTGGTTTAAAATGGTCTCCCAACCTGATTTAGTTGTCCTGACCAGCTTAAAATTCTCAAAATCCCTCAAAACTAGCCAACAACCCAGAGTAAAGACCAGATAACCTACCTAGGTTGGTTTGAGCAGTTTTCTTATTCTACACTCTACATTTTCTCAGTATATGTATACCCTGGGAATCAAACCTATGACCTTGGCTACATGTACGTAAAAATAATGTACTTCAGGATATATTTTAAGTATAAGAAAAAGCCTATTTAGTGGGAACCTCAGCATAAGTAAGTGTGAGTCTCTGATCAAATAGAGGAGCAATAGGGACCCCTAGTGAGGACTAAATGAATAACTTGTCTCTGTGTGTGGTCTAAATGTCTTACCACCTTCCTATTTTTCCTCTTTTTATCCATGCATTTGATGTTTTGATTTGTGAATCTACTAATAACATATAACAAAACATGAGTTGAAATAAAGCACTCCTTTGATATCCCCCAAGACATCTGCATCTGTACACACTGTCTTTTTTCCCTCTTTTCAGTTAAATGCTAAACTAATTCACTTAAAATGAGGCCTGTTAACTTATCTACCTTTCTGATGATAACAGGAGCTGTTTTTTTTTGTTGTTGTTGTTGTTTATTTGACCATGCTTTATTTTTTCTTTGGCAGGCGGAATATTTCCAGCTATTGAGTGTGTGAATGATGAATGCAGCAAGTGAATCCGATGCATTCTGTTTCTTCCCAAATCTAATCGCCAGGCCCAGCTTTTGGGATCAATGTTTTTTGGCCCAGATTTCTGAATGCGCTGCATTGTGCATTTAGAACAAATACAACTTGCTGTCTTGTATCTCTCTGTCTCCCTTTCTTGCCTTCTTACCTTCCTCTAGTATATGCGAATACACTAGCACACAGGTATCCATAACCCTCAGAGACCCAAGCACTGATATTCATGTTTGTTTTTTTTCTCCACACTTAAACATGTCTTCAGGAAGCCATTAGTTATAAAAACCTTTCATTTAGGCAAAATTTGCATTGGGTATTTTTGGAGAAACATTGCAAAATTGCAAAGCTGAGCATTTAGGGTTGCAAAATTTCACAGATAACTTTCTGATAAAGTAAACATTTTGAATTCACAACAGTTCAGCATTCAACAATAACAGTAAGGATATAGTCATGGAAAGTTGAGAAATTTCACTATTTGACCATTTAAATACTTTAATGAAATCATATCAAATCATATTTTATAGGGATGCTCAATATATCGGCCACCATATCGGTATCGGCTGATAAATGTTCATTTTTACTGTAATCGTTATCAACCCGATAGGAAAATTTGCCTGATATATTAAAGCTGACAAATTATACATTATTTCCTTCAGAGACACTACAGATACACACTGTTCGACATGATGGTTTTGAATTGCTTGAAATATAATTGAAATCACTTCGAAAAGGAAAATACAGTTAAGTGTAACATGAGTTATGATTATCATTATGATTAAGAACATCGCTGTAAAATAATGTTGTGGAATCTTTGTGCGCCCGTGTTTTAGCGTGTACAGGAAGAGCGCATCCACAACAGAGCTACACCTTCAAGGCTAGCACAGTTAAGTTTGCTTGTGCATTTGCAGCCTTTTGTGCAACTTTAATATTGTGCCTGTGCATTGAAATATTGTGTTTATTTTTATTTAATAGTCTCAGATTTTTGTACTTTTAGCCTTTTCCCCATTACTAGCAAGCTGTGGCATGCAGTTAATATGCTCATTTTTCCCATCAAAACTGTTGTTGTGAAAAATTTCCAAGTGTCAGAGTTCATAAGAGCATATACAAATTAGAGGGGGTTTGCTCTGTGTGTCAGCGATACTAAAAATCACAATTTCTTCCACACCACAAACTAATCTTTAAACCACTTTTGGGACACCATTTATCATCTTGGGAGACTACATAATGACTAAGTTAACAAAAACGCCTTTAATTAAGAGCTGTTTGTGATGACTACAACGATTCCCTAAAATAATGAAGGCACAATGTGGCTGTCGCTAGAGGAACGTCACCTAGCCTTTAGAGAGGACAGCAATCAGCAGAAACTGCAATGATCCTTATTAGAATAAACACACACACAAACACTATAGATACACACACCCATGACACACCGAACATGAGCCCCGGTGCAGAGAGGCAGCTCCGTGCTTGTTGAACCGTACCGCATATATTAGAATCTCATTAACAATGGGTGAATTGCAGGGCTCAGAGGGCATGCTAGCAGGCACATCGCTGGGGCGGACAGACCAGCAACACCGTGTTACACACCACAAGGCTCTCATACAGTTCATTAGTTAGTGAAACAAGCCCTCGTAAGCTCAAACGACACTAGCATCCAAATTACAAAGCCTATATTCCAATTAAGAAAGGAAGCCACACACAATTAAATAATTAACTGATGCAAATGAACGGCATCATGTAGGCCATCAAACCAATTGTGTTTGCAGTGCAGCGTGCAGCACTTTTGGCTCTCCTGTGTCACATAACGAAGGAATCAAAATGAATATTACAAAATACACTCATAAGTTTGTGATATGTAAATTAGCTGTGGTTCATCAAGTAAGTAATGACCTATAAAACATGTTATCTCGGCCTCTGAAATAGACGAAATGCAATCGGTCTTTGAAACGAATGCTTTTCTTTCTCTGCACAGAAATGAATGTTTTCCTGACTGAGGGCCTCCAGCCCTTTCAGGATCTCTTACAACCTGATCAATTACGCTCTTGAAAAGCTGTTGTTTAAATGCGCGTCTCCTCAGGAGATGCAATTTACCACTGAGCATAAATCAATGCCGACGAGAAGGGCTAATTCAAAGCCCTCATTTGATGTCAATTTGGCCCTGACCGTGGTCCGTTTATAATGACTGAATGTGTTGAGAGTATATTACCCGGAACGGAGCCACAAAGCGTGTGCAGTCATAACTTCCTGGTCTCTTAGACATCGAAAGCACATTTCCATATTGCGCCTGTCCAGAATGGTTTGTTTACTAGCCTCTTTGGATGAAATACAGGTGTCACGAGTCATCAATTTGCACACGACTGGAGGTGTGAACGTTTCTTTGAACTGGATCTTGTATTCAGGGAAACGTTGAGTACTCCACCGTCTCACGAGGGAACACTCATCTGAAAGGATCTAGAAAATGCAGCCAAATCATTTCCCATATTCAGCACCAAACTGTTACTGGCTCATCTGAGATCCATAATGATAAAACAGAGAGTGGAGATAAGAAGCAGGACATGACCATTAAACTGGCATGCGTGCACTCTAAAAAATGCTGGGTTAAATATAACCCAGCGCTGGGTTAAAAAGGGACAAACCCAGCTATTGGGTTGTTTTGACCCAGCGGTTGGGATGTTTTGAACCCAACCGCTGGGTCAAAACAACCCAATAGCTGGGTTTGTCCCTTTTTAACCCAGCATTTTTTAGAGTGTGTATTATCTGTAATTCAAAGAGAGGATTTTTCAAACTCCCTAGAATTTGGAGCAGATTTTCTTTTGTCTTTGTCAGTCTTTTGTAAGCATTCAGAAATTTTGAGAGTCCTTGTCTGGCCCTGTTGCATTGCATCTAATTTGACAGATAAATCACAGGCTAGAGGATTAATGTAGAGTGCAGAGGTAAAAGATCAAAGGTTAATGTGAAGAAGGTAAGATTGAGAGGAGGTCACAGCAATGGGAAATGTAAAGTGAGGAAGTATTCCCTCTAAAAATGGAAGCTGGAGCCATCGTGCTGTAACGTGAGCTATTTATGGGAGACCGAATGAGAACACCTAGTCTGGCAGTTTACCATTTTTTGTAGCCAACAGAGAGACCACTGAAAACAAAGAAAAAAAACTGCATGGCCTAGTGATTCCAAATACAGAACATCATTATGACACATACAAAAAATGCATCTGAAACACAGTAAATAATGATAATATTTAAGAGCTGAGCAGACGAGAATGCCAACTTAAAGTCGTAATTCCCAGAGAGAAACATACTTTGGACCCACTTTATATTAAGTGGCCTTAACAACTATGTACTTACATTTAAATTAATAATTTGGTACAATGCACTTATTGTGTACATACATGTTTTTACATTGTACTTATATTTTAAAAATTCCTGCATGTAATTACATCTGTAATTAATTTATGTAATTACATTTATAATTACACAGTTGACCCATCCCTTACACCTTAACCCACCCTTAAACCTACCCATACCAACAAACCTGTCCCTAACCTTACCCGTATCCCACCTCAATAGCAGCAAAAGTGTTTTGCAATACAATATGAACACAATAAGTACATTGTACTTAATTTTTGATGTAAGTACATAGTAGTTAAGGCCACTTAATATAAAGTGGGGCCCATACTTTAATTAAGTTCTGATGTAATGTGTTGGGGTCATGTCAATTAAAGAAATAAATTGTTATTGATCATAGTTGTAAGTGTGAATCTTCACAATTTAGGCATTTTGTGTTCTGTTGATGAAGAATAGTGATTAAGCTTGCCAAACTAAACTATTGATTTTGCTGGTAAATGAGGAGACAGATTAACTCAGCTACATTTCCACTAATTCT